AGAGGTCTAGACGAGCGATCAATGACTCTGTCTATGAAATGCGTGCATACAGATATATGTATAGATGTGTACACACATGCTCGCATATGATTCATTCAATTCTAGAAGTGAGTGTATGTATGTATGCATGCATGTATGCATGCATGTATGTATGTGTGTATGTATGTGTGTGTATGTATGTATGTATAGATAGATGTATATAGAAAGGCTGTTTGTGTTGTGTGTATGTGACTTTGTGCGTGTGTTTTTGTGTGTGTGTCATGATTAACATCTATTCCACTGTGTATATGTTTACTCGACCGGGACCCCCCCCCACCGAACGAACTTCGACTACCCCGTGCACCCAAGAGGCCCCCAAGTCGGCCCCAAAGAGGTCCAATGCGGTTCCAAGACAGGGCGTTCCAAGACGGCCTCATATGGCTCCACGGCAGTTCAAGAGACTTCCAACACGCCCCCCCAAAAAGGCCACGTAGCTCCAAGACGGTCCGAGAGCCCCCCCCCCCCATGCCCCGAAGAGCCCCAAGAGAACGCCAAACAACTCAAAGTCGTTCCATGATTTGCAGGTAGCCATACTCGCGTTTTTTTGTTTTTGTTCTCTAAGGCTCCAGAACGTTTCAACAGGCCCCCTGAGTCGCCCCCAGAACGGATCCAGAGGCCCCCGCAAAGCACCAATATGGTCCTAAGACAGCCTCAGAAGCCCCACGACGACCCAAGATAGCCCCCAAACAGCCCAAGCGAGCCCCGAGACGGCCCAAGACGGCTCCAAGAGGCTCCCAAAAAGTCCCAACACACAACCCCAAAACGCCCCCAGCAGAGCACCAAGACGGCCTGAGCCTCCCCGAAAGAGCCCACGAGGGCCTTACAACTGTCCAAAAGGGCCCCAAGACGGTCCAGAAGGGCTTTGAATAAAACCTGGAAACGCCCAATAACAGCGAATCGCCTCCTACTCCTGTAGCGTTTCCCCCTTCTGCGCTCACAACTGCCCCAGAAGCTGGGACCCAAAGGGGTCGGTGGACGCGGACCCACCATACACATGCGATATATTCAATTGGGCTTGTGTCTGGACTTCCTATCACATGGATGATTTTACATCCTGATCATGCACAAACTCACACATGCATGTTCGAGTTGCTTATCCCACAAGTGATGTTGCCTGAAACTTCAACTGGGATATGATGTCGTGTTCTTCATTTGCAACTCGGCATACCTATGTGATATTCTTCGGGCAAGTAAACGTTTCGCATCTTGCATGGCGTACCTCCTCCTCCTCCTCTTCCTCCTCCTCTTCCTCCTCATCCTCTTCCTCTTCCTCCTCTTCCTCCTCCTTCCCCTGATGCTGCTAATCCCCCTCCTTCTCATTCGCCTCGTGCGCCCACTTCCCCAACAAACTACCATCCTGCAGCCAGGAATTATCCAACAAGGATGGAGGCCCTGTCGTTTTCACAACGCACCTCCCGCCATAGCGCCGCGCGCATTCGCATACGAAGCTTCTGGAGGGCTGGCTCTTTGCAACAGGCGGTTCTCGCCTAAGCGTCGCGCGCCTTCAGCTCCAATGATGCAAGCCGCTCGTTTCCAAAACGCGATTTCCCCTGGGCGCCGCGCTCAGGGAGGAAAGCGAGGAAGGACGAGGAGAAGATCACTCCTCTTCTTCTTCATCCTCCTCCTCCTCTTTCTTCTCCTCCTCCTCATCCTCCTTTTCTTGAGGCGCCAGACCTGCTACTCTCTTGGAACCGATGATAAATTAATATGATAAATCCAAAAATATGTCATATTCATATGATAGACCAACGATTCAAATGAATTTAGTTAATGAATATAATGACGAATCAAGAATATTAACATATGAAATTATTATGACGATGGTATAATTGAATTGAATGGCGTTGAACAGGTCAAAAACAATGGTGGTAATAACGATTGGTGTAGCAAGCCACCGAGGAATAAGGGATACGGTGGCAATGACAGCCCCAGAATACGCCATGCTGAACAATCCCTGGCGCACACGGTCCCGACACGGAGGGCAAGAGCACGCATCGCGCCATCGAACTCGGCAGCACGTCGACTCATACTGTAGGTAGCACCGATGGCCATACCTCCTCCTCCTCCTCCTCCTCCTCCTCCTCCTCCTCCTCCTCACACCCTCTTCCCGCTTTCATCGTCACCGTTCCCTTCCACCTCCTTCTCCTCCCCCTCCTCTCACTTTCCCCTGCCCTACCGCGGGGCTGCTGCCGGCAGCCGCGCGGCAACGAAAGGAGGCGGCCATCCTCCTTCTAATCATCACGCTGCTACCCCATGTACTATGTAGTTCCTACTCCTACGCGTGCCCCCAATTACCAGACTCCGACCCCTACTCCTGCTTCTCCCCCTACTCCTGCTAACTCTCTCCTGCTCCTTCTTCGACTCGTCCTACTCCTACTCCACCCACTCCTCCTGCTCGTCCTGAGAGGGGCTCCTCCTCGCCGCCCCCTGACCCCCGTTACCTCCTCTTATCTCCACCATTTTTCCCGCACTGGCCGCTTCCCCTCAGCGCCCAGGGCCGTCGAGGGTGCGTGCCCCCTGGTGCGCTGAGGGCCCGCTCAGGCGCGCTGGCGCTTGGCGGCCTTCGCCAGGTCGAGGAGGCCGCGCTTCTTCGTCCTTCGAAGGCCGATCGACCGACGCTCCCTCACGCTCATCCTCCCCCTTCTCCTCCATCACCTCCTCCTCCCTGCCATCCCCCTCCCACTCCTCCTCCCCCTCCTCCTCCTCCTCCTCCTCCTCCTCCTGCCTCCACCTCCTGCTCTGCACGATCCCCATCGTTCTCCTCCACCACCTCACGTTCTCCCACTTCTTGCCACCCCTCCTCTCCTCTCCCCCCCTCTCCTCCTTCCCAGAGAAACGCGAAGCCGTGAAGTCCAGAGATGCACCCCTGGAATCCCGCGGAGCCCCCGCAGACTGCCGAAGCCAGAAAGCCCCCCGACTCGCTCGAAGGCCCTGATCCCTGGACAAGAGGGAGGAGGAGGGAAGGGCTGGGAGGAGGAAGAGGAAGCTGCAAGGAGAGGAGAGGGGGGTAGGAGAGGACGACGGAGCTGGGGGGAGAGGGATGGATAAGAAGAGGCGAGAGTGAGAAAGCCAAGGGGGAAGGGTGGAGTCCCTGCAGCGGCGGCTGCGCCCGCCCCGGGGACGTCGGCCCCCGCCTCCTCCGCCAGCGCGGCAGCCGGCGGCTCGGGCACCGCCGCGGGCGCCTCTGCAGGCGGGGCCGCCTCCGCGGGCGCCTCGGGCCTGCCCTCCACGGAGGCCCACTGGTCGCCGATGATCTGCGCGACGACCTCCGCCGTCGCCTGCGCGGGAGACGGGCTTAGGGGGGGATAGCGCTACACGGGCAGGCAGATCTGGCGAGGCGAAAGAGGGCAGGGATGACAGCTGACAACGGCACGGCAGCGCACCACCAGGCACGGCCGGCGCTGAAGGCGAACGTTACACCAAGACAAACCGATGGCCCATCGCCGAATACCCCTCGCCTCAGTCACTGGGGTCGCGGGGCAAGGGGTCATGAGCGGGGAGTGGCCAAGGGGGCCGCGTGGGGCACAGGCAGCCCCCCCCCCTCGTCCTCCTCCTCCTCCTCCTCCTCCTCCTCCTCCTCCAACTCCTCCTCCTCCAACTCCCCCTCCTCCTCCTTCTCCTCGCCCTCCTCCTCCCCCCTCCTCTTGCTCCTCCGCCTCTTCCTCCTCCTCCTCCTTCATCCATTATTCCTCCTGCCTCCTCCGTCCTTCCTCCCCCCTTCTCCACCCCCCTCCTCCCTCCCCCCGCATCCCGCCTCATCCCCCCCCCCCCACCCCCGCCCCCCCTCCCCCTGCGCCCTCCACTCCGAAAGGAAACGCGTGGCCTCGGCGGGGGCCCTCGGCATCAACTCGATGAGCGTGCCGCCCCCCAGCTCTGGAAGACGAACTCCTGCTGCGGAGTGTACGCCACCCTTTCAGCGCTTGAGCTGCCTGCGCAACTCGTCGATGGCCTCCGAAACGGCCAAAGTCCATTCACACTCAGATCCCCATGAAAAAGAAGGCTGCCTTCTTCGCAGGGATCGGGTTGCGAATGGACTTCGGCCACTCCACGTGCGCGTGGAAAAAGATGAACGCGTTGGAGACCGTCTCCACGGCCAACTCCTGGGCCCCCCGCCCGCTCTTGACCACGTCGCAGGCGACGAACGGGCCCAAGTTGTCCTCTGCGGGCTCCAAGTTGTCCTTCTCCTCGTCCTCCTCCTCCTCTTCCTTCCTCCTCCTCCTCCTGCTTCTCCTCCTCCTCCTCCTCCACCTCCTCCTCCTCCTTCTCCTCCTCCTCCTCCTTCTCCCCCCCCCTCCTCTTGCCCCCCCACCACCCCTGCCCCTCCTCATCCTCTTCCTCCTCTTCCCTCCGCCTCCTCCTCCCCCCCCTGCTCCTCGGCCCCCTAAGCCTGCTCCTGATCCAAATCCGCACCAGGAGTCCGGGGGGCTCGAGGGAGGGGCCAAAGGAGAAAGAGGGGTCCTTCTGCAAAGCCTTGACCAGGTTCAGCTTCTCCTTCAAGCTGGACGCCCAGTCGCCGAGCTGCTTGTAAGCCTGCTGGCGGGCAGGGCGGGGGTGGGCGGAACCCCCCCAGAACCCGACGGCCCCGTGTCTGGGGCTGGGTGGGCGGTGGGTGACGCCTCGGCCCCCCCCCCCTGCTCCTCATGCTGCTGCTGCTCCTCCTCCTCCTCCTCCTCCTCCTCCGTCCTCTTCCTTCTTGGGTTGTTGCTGGTATGGTTTCTCATTCCTCCCCCCCCATCCCCCCCCCCTCCCCTCCTCCTCCTCTTCCTCCTCCTCCTCCTCCTCCTCCTCCTCATTCTGCTCCCCCTCCCCCTCCCCCCCCTGACCGCCTTTCCATCCCCCCATCCACCCCCGCCTCCTACACCCCTAACTCATCATCCACCTCATAAGTCTCACCATCACCACCCCAATCATCATACTTTAGATCATCATAATCCTCATCCATTGATTGTTCGGCGCGGCGCCTTGTTATCGATGAGCGACTTCACCACGGCGGCATTCGAGCACATCTCCGCCTTGAAAGGCCTCCAGACAGGGCAGCCGGCGGCGATGCGGTCGACGTCACCCTTGATCATCGACGTCCAAGTGCTGCTGATGGTCAACTGGACGACCTTCACCTGGTACGCCAGCGCGCTAGAGAAGCTCGCGTAATCGATCAGGCCCCGCAGCACGTTGACGTGGTATGGACTCTCGTCGTTAGGCGAAGGTTGAGACCAACACCCAGAAACGGTAGCCAGGCCGCGCGCGACCGTGCGGAGGTGCAGCACGCAATCAACATGCACCTTACACGGCGCAGACTTCTCTTCGGCGATCGCGAAAACGTCGACCAGGCTGACAGTGACCGCAAAGATGTTGCGGATGACGTTCAATTGATTCCCCAGCAACTGGTCGCCCAAGCCCGACGCCCAAGCAGTGGCGGCCGCCCAAGTGTCCGGCGATGGGATCGCCGCTTTCATCGCGGCGAAGTCCTCCTTCACAATGCAGGCAGGGTCGAAGCTGCGCACAGGGTGCGCGGAATCCGTCGAGCACTTCAACAAATGCGAGATGGCCGACAGGATGGGCGCGAGCTTGGCGTTGCCTGCCTCCGTGAGCACTCCCATGATCTTTGCGTTGTAGGCGCCGCCAGCCCTGAGCAGTGGGGACTTGACAAAGGAGCTCAAGCACTCGCTGAAGAATGAATCGCTCTCCTGAACCTCCAGCGGAAACGGTTGGGCCACGTCCCTGTTGTAGCCCAGCTGCATGTCCCGGACGGCGCTGACCTGGGCGCTTGACGCCTCCTGCGACAGGAAAGAGTTGACGCTGGTCAGCCAGGTGCCGATGCGCTCGCACTTCTTCGCAGCCTCCACGAAAGGCGAGGCCGTCGAGCCAGGGAAGGCAACCTTGCTGGCCTCTGTCAGCGCCACGGAGGCGGTGCGCTGGGACGCCGTCCAGCAGCCGAGGCGCTCCGCTCCTGAGTCAGAACATCAGCAAAGCAACGCTTCCACGCTGCTAAGACCACCGGGGCGAAGGTTGCGCCCATGCTCTCAGTCGTGGGCAACTCGGCCAAGAATAGCTCGGGGCACCTGTCGACGACGGCGGCGCGCTTCGAGATGTAGGAACCCACCTGCGCGGCGATCGCGCTCAACTCCGCCGGCTCCGCGCCGTCGGACGGAGCGCCTGCGAGGTTGGGATGGGCAGGGGCGCGAGAGCAGAGGAGCAAGAGGATAGCTAAGAATGCGCGGGGATCCCCGCATCGCCCTAGCCATCCTTCTCAGGCGTCGCCATCGACGGCGACGCCTAAGGAATGGGCGTTCGATCCCAGGGCCAAGGCCGTTGATCACCGAAGGGTCAGGGGGGCCGTCGGGCCAAGGGTTCGGCCCGCAAAACCATGGGGGGGGATACGAACGCAAGACAAGCTGGAAACACCGAAAACAGAAGGCTTCGACAAGGCCATTTGGGCCGGTGGGAAACGGCGCGCCTCTAATCGTCGCAGCGATCGCCTCGCCCAGAGCGGCCATGGACTCGACGTCCGCCTTGGAGTTCTGCACCTGGGAGCTCGCCCCCGCCCCCCTTGCCCCGGAGAAATGAGAATGCGACGAGCTGGCCCCAGACACCAGGGGGGCTGGATGAGGAGGGCTGAGTCGGCAAGACGAGGAGAGGGGAGGAGGAAGGTGGAAAAGGGCAGGAAGGGCGAGGGCAGCAAGCGCACATGGGGAAGGGGGGCGGACAAATGAAGAGAGGGGAGATGAGCAAGGGGCAGGCAAGAAGAGCGAAGGCAGGAAGAATAACGGCACCAAAGGGAGAGGGAGTATTCGGGACGGGGCGAAAGTAGACAGGATGCCCTGGCCTCCTCTTCCTCATCATCCTCTTTATCCTCCTCCTCCTCCTCGTACTCCTCCTCCTCCTCCTACTCCTCATCGCCCTCATCTCCCTCGTCCACGCCCCCCTCCTCCACGTCCCCATCATCCCCCTCTTCCTTGTCCATCGTCTCTGCGGCCCTATCCCCGCCTGAGCCATGTAGAGCTTCATCTCCTTCATCCACTCCTTCCCATGCGGAAAGCCCGTGAGGACACCGCACGAGACGAGGCTGGATATCGCAGGGCTGCCGATGGCCTCGAAGGCCCCAGACAACGCCTCCACGCAGACCGAAGCGTCCGTGAAGCTCGGCGCGGCGATCAACACGGTAAGGGCCTCGCAGAAGTCCTTGACGTTGTCGACGAGGTCCAGTTCGCGGTCCATGTCGAAGAGGTCGCCCAGGGCGTCGAGCCTCTCTTTCTTTGATTTGAGCTTCAAAGCCGCCGCCAGCCGAACTGAGACAAGCTTGTCCTGCTCGGTCTGAAGCGCGCTGCCGCCGAAACCGACCTGGGCGAGGTCCCGGGTGCTGATCCTGGAGAACCACCTGCCGGTGTCATCTGTGTCCCTGATGTCCATCTTGTGCCGCGCCCACTTGATGTGGGTCGGAAGCGTCAGCGTCACCACGGGTGCCAAGCCCATCGATGTCACCTCGGCCGCGATGGCATTCACATCCCGCTGGCCCATCGGAAGGCCCTCAACCTTGGCCGCGGGGGCGAAGCTAGAAGCTGCCTCGCGGCGAAGGTTGTGGGCCCTTCGACGGTCCTCTGGTCTGCGAACAGCCCTCAGACCTGCAAGTCGTGCACCTCTTTGAACTGCTCCGAGTCTACCCCGTGGTCCTTCACGACGGTAACGAAAGCAATCATAACGACGAGCTCTTTCATCAATCGTTCCAAGGTGGTAACCTCCTCAGCGTCAGTCGTTTTGCGGCACCTCGAGAGGATGTCCTTCGAGTAGGCGTTCATCTGCTTGATCTGGGTCTTCGCCTCGGAGCCCCAGAAGTTCGGGTCGTTCGAGCTCGAGTTCGCGAAGCTAGTGCGCACGGCCTCGATGACGGGGCCCCACTTCTTCGGAGGTTTGCCCGCCTTCTTCTTGGCTCCCGCGCTGGTGGACGCCTGTCCTGCGGCAGCGGCCTTCCCGCCGCTCTTCCTGGCGGGCTTCGGCTTCGTCTCTAGATCCTCGGCCGCGCCGTCGACAGCGTCGGCGGGTGCTCCACGCTTGTTGCCAGACCCAGGCTCGGGCTCGGCCGCCGGCGGGGGGCCCTTTGGCGGGGGGCTCGCGGCGGGCGAAGCCCCCGCCGGCAGCGCGGAGTCGCTGCTGGCCGGCGGCGCGGGCAGCGCCACGTCGCCCTGCGAGCCCAAGTTCACGCGCAGCATCGCAGGCTCCGCGGAGTTGCCGCGGCCGTTGACGAAGCTCATGAGATCGGTGAAGAAGGCCGAGGAAATTCGATCGAGCTGGGCCTTCGTGATCTCGCAACCCTCCGTCGACCCAGCCTGCGTCGTGACGACGGACTCGTCGATCGTCACGAACTTGAAAGTTGTTGTCCTGTTGGGGACGTAGTACCCAGGCACGCCATTGTAAGTCCACTCCTTGTGGCCATGAGCCGCCATGCCGTTGGTCTCGAACTTCTTGAACTCCTGCTCGTACTCGGCAATCGGGAGATGGCGGTACCCCCCCGCGCCCTCGACAACGGCCTGCCTCCTCTTGACGATCTCGAGGCTGACCTTCTCGGGGCCATCTCCATCTCCTCCTCCTCCTCCTCCTTCTCCTCCCCCCCTCCTCCTGCGCCCGCCTCCTCCTCCTCCTCGGCCCCCGCGCCCCCTGCAGTTCCCTCCGCCTGCGCCCAAGTTCACCACCTATGACCTATGCCGCCTGCCTCCTCCTCCTCCTCCTCCTCCTCCTCCTCCTCCTGATCATCCAAGGCGCCCTCCAAACTCAACCCCGAACACCTCGACTCGAGCTGCCTCGTCCCAGGCCAACGCCTCCACGTCCTTCTCAACTTCCTCAACGCACTTCCCCAATAATGCGCATCCTCCCCCTCCTCCTCCTGGTCCTCCTCCTCCTCCTCTCCTCCTCCTCCCTCCTCCTCCCCCCCCCCCTCCTCCTCCTCTTCCCACTCGTAACCCTGGCTCGTATCCCACCCCCTTCTCCTCCTCCCCCTCCCCCGCCCTCCCCCTCCTCCTCCTCCTCCTCCTCCTCCCCCTCCTCCTCCTCCTCCTCCCTTCTCCTGCTCCTCCTCCTCCTCCTCCTCCTCCTCCTCCTCCTCCCCCGCCTCCTCCTCCTCCTCCTCCTCCTCCTCCTCCTCCTCCCCCCCTCATCCTCATCCTCCTCCTCCCCCACCCCATTCTGAACGTCCCCCCCTCCTCTGAACGGGGTTCGATCGATTGCGAGCCCCCCCGGGCCTTGTCCCGCACCGCCTCCCAATCCACGCGGAAGTGGGATCTGGGGTCCGAGAGGTTGGCCTTCACCATGGCCTCGACGACCCCGTCGACCATGCCCTGGTGCCGTTCCAACCTCTTAACGTCCACGCCCAAGAACTTGCTGTACTCGGAGAAGCTGGTGGGCTGCGTCAAGGCGTGCTTGATGTGCCCGAAGTATATCTTCATGCAGTAGCCGCAGAACGCGCCGTGAGTCTTGCCTGGGCGTTGGGCCCGAGCGAAGCAGAAAGCCCCCCCCCCCCCCCCCTCATCAACCTCCTCCATCAGATATGTCACTTCTTCTTGGTATTATTCATCATCCTCCTTCTATCCTCGCCGCCACCCCCCCTGCCCAAACGCGCCCCCCATCGATCTCCAGCCAGGTGGCCAGACCTAACGGGGCTGAGCCCCCGGGCGGATCAGGGGCAAAGGGCATTCCAGATCCCGTCGGAACCCAGGAACCCAGCGGACCTCTCCAGAGCCTCACGCATACCGCATACCCAAGGACTCAGTGGACCTCTCAAGAGCCCGGCTCGAGGCAGAGGAGGTGCAAGGTGGGGGGAGGGGAAGGGCAGCGCTCACGGCATGGCATTGTGAACCCGATCGCCCGTGGTCTTGTCGAACGGTTTGCCCCACCACATCGGCACTTTGATGTCGCGCTTCAAGCAAACAGGGTCCCACTGATCATCCTTGTGGCGGCACGTCTGGCACTTCCGACCGTCTGGGCACTGCTGAACTGTAGACCCTCCGCCAACGCCAAGGTCGCTGCCGGCGCCGTCTGCGCGATCGCCGTCCTCCCGCGCGAACGGCGGCGAGAGCGAGCGAGCGAGCGAGCGAGCGAGCGAAAGAGAGAGAGAGAGAGAGAGAGAGAGAGAGAGAGAGAGAGAGAGAGAGAGAGAGAGAGAGAGAGAGAGAGAGAGAGAGAGAGAGAGAGAGAAAGAGAGAGAGAGAGAGAGAGAGAGAGAGGGAGAGGGAGAGATCGCGAACACAAAACGGAGCAGGAGGGACAAAGAGAGAGAGGGAGGACAACAACAAATGAAGGATATGAAAAATCGGAGGGCGGGCCAAGGAAGAACTGGATCTTGGCAGAGGAGCGATGACACAAGAAAGCGCCCATGGAGGGCGTGGGCATGGGGCCCAAGCGACGCTGGGATTGTCCTACGATGCCCTCACGAAAGGCCAGCGAAAGGCCTGGCCCAGGACAGCGGAAGCCAGACCTTGCAAGCGACGCCCGTCTGCCGCCGAGATTGCCTCAGGAGGGCGCCCATGGGGCCCAATCGCCCACGAGGCCGCGCGATATATCCTCGACGCCCTATGTTTTCCCATGGGCCGACTGGGATCGGGCCAAACACATGGCACTCAGTTCCCTACCCAGGCTCTGCCTAGAAGGGTTCTTACTCTCTGGGCTTAAAGGGGCCGGGCTGTGGAAAGCGCCCCGGGCGGTCCCCCCAGTATCCGCCCCGCGGTTCCCCCAGTTGCGTCCCCTTAGCTTAGCGTTGCTTATATCATCTTAGCTTAGCTTATTTCATCTTAGCTTAGCTTAGCTTCATCTTAGCTAAGGTTTAGCTTAGCTTAGCTTACCTTCATCTTAACGTCGCTAAGCTTTAACATCACAGAGCGCATCATAGCAAAGCATAGCGTAGCATAGCACAGCGCAGCACAGCATATCATAGCATAGCCTAGCATAGCCCAGCATAGCGCAGCATAACATAGCATAGCATAGCGCAGCACAGCACAGCGCGGCATACCACAGCGCAGCATAACATTGCATAGCATCGCATAGCACAGCGCAGCTTAGCATAACATAGCACATCATAGCTTAGCATAACACAGCGCAGCATGGCATATCATAGCTTAGTATATCATATCATAACATAGCACAGTACATCATAGCATAGCATAGCGCAGCATAGCATGGCATAGCATAGCATAGCAGAGCAACTAATGCTGCTTTCCTAGGGGTTCCAACTTCTAGGCGGGGTCGCACTGGGGTAATTTGCTTATAATGGCGACGCCGAAAACAAATATGGTGCGTTAGCGCCCTGGCCGCGGCGATATGTGGAAATGCTCCGAACCCAAGGGCTGCTGCACGGTTCTCGATGGCCCCACGGGGGCACCTATGGGCCTGGGTTATCTAAGACACTTTAGAAGGGCGAGCGCCGCTTCCCCCCCCCCCCCTCCCAGAACTGCAATCCTGCTCTGGCGCCGTAGCTCGGCTCTTCTTCTTCTTCTTGGCGGGCGGGGCGGACTCTCCAGCAAACAGCGAGGGCAGGGCGATCGCGGGCGGCGGCTCCCCAACGCCAGCGCGAGCCATCTCGCGGTCGGTGGCTGGGGCCCCCATCGCGAGATTCCTGTCTGGGAGCCTCTCGGAAACGGAAAGGCTCAAAATTGGCGAGCCGCCACCTGGGCCAAAGGCCCTGTTCACGAAGGCCTGCTCCTCTGCTCATCCTCCACCATCGTCTTCCTCTTCCACCTGCCCCTGATCCTTCGCCCCTCTCCACTTCGCCACCCCTGTTGCCCGACCGCATCCCCCCCCCATCCCCCACCTCCCCAGATCGTCGGTTGCGTGCCTGATTGTTTGCAGGCGCAACTCTCTCACGCTATCTCTCTCTCTATCTTATATCTGCATATCTCGCTGCAGCTGCTGATTCAGCAGGCAGATGTCGCCCTGAAGTTCGCTCTCTAGGCCTGAGAAAACGTGCCGGTGTTATGATATGCATATCTCTCTCTCTCTCTCTCTCTCTCTCTTTCTTTCCCTCGTTTTATTTTTTTTTCTCTCTCTCTCTCTCTCTCTCTCTCTCTCTCTCTCTCTCTCTCTCTCTCTCTCTCTCTCTCTGCGTCCAAGTCCCCCCTTCCTCTCTGGGCGATCTGCGAGGTAGAGGGTGCCGGGGCAGGTGGGCGAGGGCGAGGGCGAACTAGGGGGCAGGAGCAAGGTGGGATAGTTGGAATGAAGCGGGGGATGGTGAGAAAGAAGGAAGGCACCCCTTGGCGAAGTGGCATGGGGCTTCAGAACGGCATGACCCTGTGCTCCAAGACTGGGCATCAGCCATATTCCCGAAACGGTGAAGTAGGTGCAACGGCGTACGCGTGCATCTGTAACGTGACCATGGTCATGTTTCCCTGCGCCCCCACCGACTAAACGGAATACGTGTAAGTACCATCGTCGAGCACATGCATCGACGATGTCGCCCCCCCCATCGAAACGCCGCCGAAGGATGGCCGCGCCCGTCCGCGGCGGCATGTAAACGACAAACAATGAGGGGCCTAGGGCTGTCCGTGAGAGATACTATTGGATATGGTTTGCAAGTGTGACACAGCTGATGTGCCCCGAGCTCCTCCCAAAAACGCTGGGACCTCGCAAACTTAGCTGGCTGGACTGGGATGGATTGCATCACCCCCTAGGCCCCGTCCCCCCAAACCGCTGGCCCTTTCGGAGCAGACGTTCTTTTGGCAGACCAACGGGGGGGGGGCGGGCGGAGACAGGTCCTGGCAGGCATGACGCAAGGAGGACTGAAGGCAGACCAGCAACACTGTGATCCAACCCACTACTTGCACGCACTGCGCCACTTCTCTAGGCGGGTCTCCTGGGAGCGAGCACGAGCACAAACGCTTCCCTGACATAGAACTGCCCAGAGTGCGGAAGGCGCACTTCCGCTGACGAAATTAGCACTCTGCAACGCGATCTCACTACCGATCCGACCAGTCAGCCCATAGGCGTGACCTGGCGACGCCCGTGGAACTTTGGACCCCCACGAAGTGCTCACTTCTCGACATCGTTTCTGGACGGGCGATGCTCTAGGAACCCTAATGTGACGACGCGTCTGTCTCCGACTCACTGCTGCCGACCACCTCCTCATCCTCCTCCCCGTCCACGGCCATCTCGTCCGAGCCCTCCGGCCGGAGGGAATAGTACGCGCCGAAGGTGGCGTAGGAGGCAATCATCCATGGGATGGCGTGGTACATGCAGTAGGCGTTGCCAGCCATGTTCAAGAGCATGAAGGCCTGGTCCTGCGCGAAGCCGCCGTCCGGGACTCGGTACATGGTGTCCGCCCAGCCGATCATCCGCATGACCTCGAACCCCTCGCAGATCCTGATACCCCAGGCCGCGGGGCTCTGCAGGACGCCTGAGACGTGCACCCGGTACCTCACCACGAGTTTGCCCGACCCAACTAGTGTAGGGGGAACCGTCGCCCACGGAGACTGCGCGGCAGGCTTGAGAGCCCCGTAGCCTTCGTCGAGCAGTGAGCCGATGAGCCTGGGCATCGACTGGTTGATGTCAACGAACTCTACCAAAA